GGACGGTGTTCAGAGGACCTATTCTTTGTTAGTCGTGCTTTAAATCCTTGATGAGCTGTCTACGTAGAGGAATATTTAATTGCATTAAATTTGACAACGGTGCACTTGGGCTAAGGTGATAGTACTCAGTTTGATCCGCACTGAATAGAAGTCAATTAATACTGACTCTTTTTCACTTGTTGCCCTTTTTGCATGAATGATATTAACAAAAACGTGTTGGATACCATTTCAGTGACATATTGAAATAAACCTCATAAACAAAAAATGGCACTTTTTCAGCTATATCATGTGGTCGTTAGGGACAAGCACACAGCTCGTCTTATCGTTGAAACGGGACTTCCTCATCGACGCACATTTGTGCCTTGGACAGAAGTTGTGCCTCGTCACTATCATGATATCGCGCAACGCTTCCGTCGTGCACAAGAGCTGGTGGGTTATTGCATTACAAACGCAAAAATGACATCTAACGATGCCATAAGAAAACAGCTGATGTTTCTTTTGTTGACACGTGGTTGTGTTTGGATGAGTTTTGTTGATATGGAGGAAGTAAGAAGTGTTGGCAGCATGAAAGCAAAGCACCCGAGTTATGACATCTTTTCCTGATGATTGTGGGTTCTAGTGGCTAGATTTACTTGAATGCACATTTTGGTCATATTGTGCACTGGCCTTTCTTATCTTCTAAGTCTGACGAAGATTGTGAGAAAGTCTAGCAACATTTTTGATAATTAATCCCCTACGTCTCGTCCTTCGAAATTTCACACGATAAAAATCTGATGAAGAGTCAGATTTCTGGGCAATCAGAGAAGTTGGTTTAGGAACAGTAGGAGATGAAAGAAGTTAAAAATTAGAAGTTGAAATTATCTGACAATTCTTTAAGCGCTATGCTATTAGGTTGATGGAGAAAAGGATATCAAGAGTTTAGAGGGTTTAGAAAGGATATGAACGATAAGTAGGAATGTCCTCACAAGTTATTTATTTGAATTTCACTCATTGAAGCTGAATGTTTTCAAATATACTCATCTCTTTAAAAGCAGTCATTTTCTTTTTAAAATTAGAATTTAGTGGAATTCTAACTGAACTTCTAACAGTGATTTATGATAAACTCTGACATCTCATCTCAAATGCTTCTTCATTTTTCGTAATGGCTCTGCTCCAGACAAAATAGTAATTGGCGTACACGAAATTTTTGCGTACGTCTTATTAAAAAACAAGTTACTGGGTAAAAGTGGACTATTGACTCCCATTTTGCGTGCGCGTGTGATTAGATAGTGATTCTTAAAGCTTTATGTCGTGTGCAGCTACGCCACATTTCGAAATAGCAAATCGCAAAAAGTATAGTTTTTCTGAGAATTGAGGATCCTATTTTCGATGAATAATACATCTGCGAGAGTTGAACAGGTTGGGCTGGTGTTTCTTTTCTACATTCCAAAAATGGAAAGTAAATTTAGAAATCACGCTAGAGAAATGAAGCCAAAATTTTTTTGCCAATTTTCAAGATTTACAGCTTTGTTTATCTGAAATACTTGCAAAGGAAGTTCAAAGAAGAGAACGTCAGCTAAGTGCGAGCGGCGTCAGACAGAAGCTAGATTGCAGTCGTTGTGTCGTGATAATTACTGGTCTAGCTCTTGGCAAACATCGTGGACAACAATATGAATAATAAATTGTGATTAGTCT